TAACATGCTTGTACATTCGTTTTTGTGCACTTGTTTGACTCTTCCTTAGTTTACCATTCTAAACTTATTCCCAAGGCATATTAGACTTGAGCTATGTTCCTCATTCTGCCAGCACATCCTGCTTTCCTTAGTTTATATTTTCTCTTCCTGGAAGACTCTTTCCCTGTATTTGCCCACTGAAGTTCTGTCTGCTGTACGGCCAAGCGATGTACGGTACAGCAGTATGCAGTAGCTTATTGATAATTAGAAGTAAGTACTTTCTGTGTCAGTCCATTTCTTCTGCTTATAACAAAAATACTGGAACTCGGTAATTTATAAAGAAGAACTATTTGTTGCTTACAGTTTCAGAGGCTGGGAAGTCCATAGTCCAGGGAACACATCTTGTGAGGTGACTTTACGGCAATGCAGGGTGTCACATGGGGAGAATGGTGGAACAGAAAGAGAGTTTTACACATTCTCCTTTTAAAGCCAACAGAACCATGCCCACAACAACCACTAAACCATCAATTTATTATTCCATTTACCAGGGCGTGGGCTTCACAATCTAATCACCTCTTTAAGGCCCCCACCTTTCAATAGTTATAATAGGATTGCCCACCCTCAACAGATACAGTGGGGATTAAGCCTCCAACACATTCAACTTTGGGGGGGAGACAATCCAACCCATAATACTTTCTTTTATAAAACATTCAAACAAGAAAACCTAATTTAAGTTTTTCCCTTTAATATTAGCAAAACAAAAATGTTAAACACAAACTTGTCTGATTTAATAATAAGATTTCAACCCCAAATCATATTTGGGGGTCCAGAATTAATATCTTTTTCATGGAGCATAGAAACTTAAAGTAATACTTTAATTTTACTGTTTAAGGCACTTTCTAAAATGCTCTCATTCTATTATTTCATTTTACATTGTGACATCTTTTCTTTTACTAACTTAGAAATTTGAGAAAAGCAAAGGAAAGCAGTGGAGATGAAAGAAAAGCCAATCCCCTAGAGTAACTGGACTAGAACTTGAGTTTTTATTGGTAAAACTTCTTATACACCATTCATTCAGACTGTGGTCTGGAAGAATACTTTGCCTTGAAGTAATTGAGTCAACTCTACCAAAAGATGATGTTAGAGAGAGACTTTCTATCAGCTAAGGGGTGCCTTTTGTGAGTTGGAGAAAGAATGACTGGTGGAAAATAACACTATGCATATCTTNTTTTTTTTTTTTTTTTTTCTTTTTTGAGACTGGCCCCATCGCACTCAGCCAGTGAGCGTTGTGAGCGCAGGGGTCATCCCTATATAGGATCCGAACCCGCGGCGGGAGAGCTGCTGCGCTCCCAGCGCCGCACTCTCCCGAGTGCGCCATGGGCTCGGCCCATTGAAGAGAATTTTATGGTTTCACCCCACTTCTGTCTGTTGTACATCTATTATAACAGTTAGCGTCTGAATCTCCTATTCTGTTACAGTAGTCTGTTTTTCCTACTAGTTTATGAACTGATAGAGGCAGAAATGTGATCAATCACACTCATCTGTGTACTCCATTGCAGTGGTGGGCACATAAAGTAATTAGCATATTTTGACTTTGGTTTAAGTAAAGTATCTTAAACCAAATTAAAAAGCGTCCTCAGTATCACGTAGGTGGTCACTCTTCCTTTCTTTTACATATATTGGCATTCCATGCTTCAGGGAGACAGAGGACTTGGATATGTTTTAGCTTTTGCTTAAAGTGAAAACACTGTGCTGTAGTTGAAAAGTAACGTTTTCTAGCTGTCTGTCAAAAGTGTTTGTCCGCTGAAGACTTTGGAATTCTGATCCGTGTGTTCCAAATTGAGCATCTTCAATGTGCCAAGTATCCACAGGAAATTGTATACATATGCAGGAGAACAGAACTTAAGTAATCAAATAAGGCCTCTGATCCTTCCGACTTCCTTTTTATTTTATTTTATTTTTATTTTTATTTTTTATTTTTTGTCCTTTTTTGAGACCGGCGCACCACGCTCAGCCATTGAGCACACCGGCCATCCCTATATAGGATCCGAACCCGCGGCGGGAGCGCTGCTGCACTCCCAGCGCCACACTCTCCCGAGTGCGCCACAGGCTCGGCCCGACTTCCTTTTTAAGTAGGCAGGTGGCATAGTGTATCCTGTACGTTATAATTAGTGCTAAGAGGTGAACGCCAAAAACAACAACAACAACAACAAAACCAAGACACAATGTTAGTTTGTCTGTGACGCTGTGCCAGTGAGTAGAGGCTAAAGATCCCGTGCTGCTGTCCCTATGACCCACCCAGCCCGCACCTAGGAGGAGACGCGCCCCCTCTGTTAACACTTGGACACGGGGTGACCTACACATCTGTGACCCCCTCTGTAGGAGTGCCCGTGGCAGACGCGCGCGCAGACACCGACAGCGGCTGGCACCTGGGGCCGCGCGCTATCCGGCGCCCCGCCTCCTTCCTCGGAGGCCCAATCATCTGGAGGCTCTGGGGGCACGTCCCGCTGCCGGCCACGCCCCCGTGCGGGGGTCTCCCTTAAGAACCTGCCGCGGGCCGCTGGCTCCGCCGGGGGTGCTGGGCGGTGGGCACTGAGGCCGGAGTTCTGATCCCTGATCCCTGAGAGGCTCTCGCGCCGCCGCTGTCCTCGCGGCCGCCGCAGCGCGGG